AGAGAAGAAGAAGGTTAGTCAATACCTAATACTCCTTTGATTCTTCTTTTTCTTTCATTCTTTCCAATTACAGTTTCTTTCTTTGATGCTATTGATTACAGTTTGGGTTAGATTTGATTTTGTATCTGTAATATTTGTTACTTCAATTCTGATTGCAATGGGTTTTAGATTTCATTTTTAATTGTGTTAGCTATAAGTTTTTTTGTTTGATCTTTGATTATTCATTTGTTTGTTACTTGTTTACCTTTACTGTTTGTTGCTGGTGTTTTTTTGGTATATTCTAAATCAGTGATAATGAATAAGATATTAAGATTGTGGAGTGTTCTTGAGAAAATTCTTTAGATTAATGGAGAATATCACCCTGTGCTTCAACTAGTTTAAGGTGTTACACTTAGGTGTCTAAGGTAAATTTTTCTAAAGACCAGTTTATATTTTGCCATTATATGCTTCTTATATGGTTTGTTTACATTTCCTTGTTTCTTTGGGATGTTGCTTAAGCTGATGCATTGGAAAAATCATTTGGCAAATTTGTTGACACTGCAAAGGTTTTTAGTTACCATCACTGGAAACCTTACCATTTACTTGATTTTTCCTTGGCAAGCATGGGTAAACCGAGACTAGCTCACCCATCTATAAGTATATGATCTTTAATGTCGCACCTTTCTTTAGCAGGACTGCAACTTGTGACCTACCTCAATTTTCCTCCATATGGAGCTTGTTTCATTTTTAACTTGAGACTTTAGTGCAAATTAGAATTGATAGCATAAAGCTTTGTTGTTTAGATTAGGTCAAAGGGAGTTTACTAGCCTTTATGATTGTGTTGAGTCCTATGCTGTAATTTCCTCTTTGGTTAGGCTTGGCTTTGACTTGCAGTGTTTGTTAATTAGTTGTCATTTTAGGAGGTTCTGGTCATGATTGGGTGGTTAAGTGGTTGTTTATACATGTCAAATCATCTTCTTGCTACTATAGGGATATTTTTCCTATAAATTGGTTATTCTTTGTGCTAAGAAGGTCATTTTTCTTTTCTTGATTTCCATATTGGTAATAAAGTATCATACAGCCATGATGCTTATTGGGGGTTAAATAATTTAGATAGAATAAATGTAAATTTTGTATGACCAACTAATAACTTACTTGGTAGCCACCAATTTTAAATCTTGGTTTTAGGGTCAAATTTAGTGGTTTAAACTTATGCAATGCCTAAGTATCTTAACTTCTGAAGTACCAAAAAAATGTGTAATTTTTTTATTTATTCAAGTAATACATATGCATTTGTTTATGTCTATTTGACCTTTTTAATGCCATACTCATCTAGTTTCAGCTGTCTGGGTTCAATAAATAACTGAGCCTTTAGCTTCA